CAGACATTTCTTCCAAGGTGCCTCTGGGTGGACTTGAACCTCCAACCTTTCAGTTATCAGCTCAGAGTGTTAACTGTTTGTGCCACCCAAGGACTCCCATTTATAGACAGACTCACCATAAAAATTCGCTTTTGCTAGCATCGGTGCACTGCTGCCCACTGCTGCAGCAAACAGGTCAGGGCATTTTATTCTCGACCACACCGCAAGGGAGCCACCATAAGAGCCACCAAATACAACCCATTTATTTTTGGTGAGCCCTATTGTCTTTGCTATTTCAGTTCGGAAGTTGACAATGTCAGCCACAGCTTGTCTGCTGCTGAGGTAGCGGAGACTGGCAGTACTCAGATCTCTGCAATTAAAGCAAAAAAACACTCTGTGACAACAAAGTAGAATATATGAGGATTAACATCAGCTTGACTATAAAGTAAAAATGAATATTATGAAAACGTGTTCAGTATTTATATCAGGTCCAATTTGAAATTTTAATTAGCATATACCTGACTGACAGGACACATGTATGCAAGAACTAGCAATAATTGCCAGCATTTGTCTCACTTTAGTTATTTCATTTCCTCTTGTCACCACTCTGAAGGAGCTTCAAATGCTTGTCACCACCCATGTGGTGCTCTTTCTCCATACATTGAACTGAAGCACAGCTATCACATTATTACCCTGACTCAGAGAGGAGCCCATTTTTGAAATGGCTAAATTGTCAGTGATTTAATTGTTTGCAAGGCATTAAGAAAACTCATAGTTAATTATACTGATGTTATTTTCCATACGTTCATCTTTGCTGCTACGTCTAGACAAACTACGATTTGAACCTATGTTTCTCAGTCATAAGAAAACTAAGTAAAATTTTTGTAAGTTATTTTTCAGTGATATTTCCTTCATAATAAGGTTGCCTATAATCCTGGGATGATTTTAACCCTTATTGATAAAGGAAAAATTCTCCCTCCCCCTGCATGATGCTATAACTAGCTGATTATGAATTTCAAAGTAGACAAAGGGCATAGAATAGTCCCAAAAAGAAACACAAGTAGCCAGCAAATACATGAAAACATTTAGCCCGTTCTATTATCAACGCAACACAAATATCAGTATTTTCCCCCTCCTAACAAACTGGCAAAATTTATTTTAGTATTCAGTGTTGTCACGGATGTGATGATGTAGCCTCTCCTGTATCACTTGTGGAAGTATCTGCTAGTAGAATCATTCAGAAAGCAATTTGTGCTCATATAAAAAGCACTTCACGAGACAAAACGTATACCTTGGTTCAGCATTTCTTCTACTAAGAAGCTACAGCAGAACCCACTAATTTTCCCCTTATATCCACACTCCCTTTCATCTTTAGGTAATCAAAGCTCTGAATTTCGTCTGGGCGCATGACAGCCCATAATTAACACTACACATACCAGCCACCCTTACAGTCAGATGTGGACTTATTGAGTAAGATCGAGCCAATGAGACATAACTGGAAAACAGTAGGTAAGATTTATTGCAATAATCAATCATAGAATTCACTCCGCTTTCTAAGAGCAAACTCTCACATCCTTATAATTTCCTCCTAATTGCTCAAAATACAAATTGTATTGTAGATTCTTTCTAATACATTCTTACTGAAATGTACCACATGAAGTTAATTTGGATAGCAAACAAGTTATTTGCTATAGTTAATTGCAAAAACACAAGTTATTCCATTCTTGAACAGCAGTTTACTTCCTTTGAGAGATTAATAAAGAAAGCCTAGACTTCAAATTATTTTTAGACTATCATAGAATCATTAACACACACACACACCCACACAAATCAAAGGTTCTAATGAAGAAATGTAGAATGGATAGAAATATTGGTGTGCTGCAACATTACCAAAAGTTAAATGACATGAAATTCAAAAATCACAGTTGAGGAATCACTGCTAGAAAGCAGCCTGTGAAATCTTCAGTAATTATTAGTCTGTCATGTGAAAGGTACCAAGAATTATAACTCATATAATAATGTATCTCTTCACTGACACTACTCAGATTCTCAGGGTTATAAGAAGCAATCCTTACTTCTTATTTTAATGATAATGAAAAATTCAGATATTAAATTGGACTTTTCAGAACTTTTTGAGGCACTTTTAAATCTTCATTCTATTTGCTTGACTTCATACAATGAATAGTTTATAATTTTAAGCAAGTAAGCTAAAATATATTTTTCTACTGGGAAAAAAATAGTAGGTATCAAGAATATACTGCTGAGGCAAAAATAGTTCTCATATTCTTGCTACTTGCTCTGCCCCTGCAGTCTGAAATTTAATACTATATCTAGTTACTTCGATTAGTTGTTGTAACAAAATGATTACCAGTTTCCCATGAGGACAGTAATTTTCATGGGATAAAATTCCACTGGAGTAGAAAAAAAAATAGAGATGCACTTTTTTTTAAGCATGTTCAGGAAAACACAAAGTTAAAACATGAAATTACAGTACATGAAGAATACATTTTGTTCAAAGGAAATTTCATATGACTTTTTATCAAGAACGTTACTCTTAACCCAACCTCTGCTTACAGTTACCAGTTGAATTTTCTTCTTACCAGTTGAATTTTCAAATATTCACCTCCCTAAAAGAACATATCTATACCTAACATTGCCTAAATTAAAAAGAGAGACCCTAACAACAGCAATGAGAACAACCACAAAAAGAGACCTTTAAACTTACCCTGTTGGTTGGCTGAGTCCGTAAAATCTGTGTTCCAGCAGTAAGCAGAGGGCGCCTAATCTCTCAGCATATGTAACCCAGGTAGTATTCATTAATATCCAGTTTCTACTGGCAGTTTCTGATCCTTCAATCATCAGAAATACTGGGCCTCCAGGTTTGTAGAAGGCATCATTAATGAAATATCTCTGTGAAAGTAAAAATATTCTTGTAAGTCACAAACCTACCAGGTCTTGCAATTTGTGGTTTCTGATAACTGGGTGGCAGCATATTTTGGTTTGTCAGATTTAAGTTATGGTCCTGAGATCCCATCTAAATCAATAACATTGCTCAAGTCACTGTGCCTACACACTGCACGAATTTATTTTTTGTCTTTCATGGTAAAAGAGACCCAACATCAAAATGGCCATTTCAACCATTTTCAAGTGTACCATCCAGTGGTGTAAATGGCATTCACAATATGCAACCGTCATCCCTACTATCCGTTCACATTTCACGCTAATATTTTAAATTCAAATTTAGAATGTGAGATTCTTGTTTGATCTTATACTTGTAGCTATTTTCTTTCAACTCTGAAAGTTTCAGTTCCTAACAGCATCAACATATTTATTTGCTTTATGCAAATAATAAATAGTAAAACACACACATTAGAATAACAATACCAATATTAAACAGAACCCTGATGTTGCCACGGTTAAGTGCTCTGCTGCTAAATGAAAGATCAATGGTTCAAACCAACCAATTGACCCTGAGGATTAATGGAAGCAGACTGCCACATCTTTCTCCAGGGATTGCTTTCTGCATTCGAACCACTGACCTTTCAGTTAGAAGCCTAGCCTTAAACATTGCACCACCGGGGCTCCTTCTCATAAATATTACAGCCTAGGAAACACTGAAGGGCAGTTCTACTTTGTCGTTTATGGTTGCTATGAGTTGGAATCAACAGGATGGCATACAGAAACAACAACAATATTAAGCGAGATAATGTGAGTGGCTTCAGTTCTGAGTTAGAAAGGGAAGCCAAGGTAGAAAGGGGGAGAGTGCTGACACATTGTGGGATTTGAAACTAATGTAACAAAATAATTTGTTCATAAATTTTTGAATTAGATACTAACTTGCTGTGTAAAACACAATAAAAAAGAAGACTGATAGTATGATTACTGAAAACCTATTTCTTTACAATTGTTTGTATGTGTATGCATCCTTAGGATTTATTCCACAAGAGTTATAAAGTCAGCGGGGCAGAGCCAACATGTTGCTATAGACAGAAGCACAATAATTTCCCTCTACAGCAAAGGCCCAAACAACAAAATAAAACAGAGACAAACATCAATCCTGAAACCCTAAGCATCAAATGGAGGGATAAAGAACTCAAACAAGCACCGAATGGAATAAGTATCTAACGGAGAATGAGGAGAACTACGGGGCAGAGGTCCCATAACAGGTAACGCTTCATGGACTGTCCATCTTGGACCCCTCAGTCACAAAGATCGATGGACAAGGATTACAGGAAGGCAACTTAACGGAGCTTCCAACAGGAGACAGAACACCTGGTAACCAGGGATACATGCTTTCCCACCTGTCACTTTTCTTCTCTCTGGGCATCTTCTGCCACTTTCCAGTGGGCTGCAGTACCTCAGCCAGACAGACCCCAGCTCCTTGCTGCTTGGATTCACCCTGCCCTCCCAGCAGGATTCTTCAGTGTCATTTTGTTGTTATTGTTTTTGTTTCATTTTGTTTATTCTCTCTCACTCACCTCCTTCATTTACTTTGTTCTGCATATCTAGTACCATGTGGCATCTCCACTCCATGTTGCTGGGCTGTGCTGCACTGCTTAACTGGGGAGCCTCTTTCTAAGTCCATGCTGCCACGATGATGGGCTCCATCAGGGCTTTTTTTTGTGGTGGAGGGGGCAACTCTTGTCTCTCTCTACCTTCCTTTCATTTCTCCTGACCACCTGGTTATGTGTGCTGTCTCTACAGCTTTTTGACAGGCTGTGCCACCTTGCTTGTCTGGGGAGAAACAGACACATGACTTCCCCAGTCTGAGCAGCCTCACTGGTGGACTCCCTTAGGGCATTTTTTTTTTTTCATTCTCACTTTCTTTTCTCTCTCATTCTTCCTTACTTTCCTTTCTCTGACCAACTGGCTCCCTGTGCTGTCTCTGCCACTTTTTGATGGGTTGTGCCACACCACTCAGCTGGGAACCACTGGCACACAGCTTTCACAGTCTATGCCGCCATACTGGTGGGCTCCCTTGGGGCATTTTTTTCTTTCTTGTTTCTTTATACATTTCTTCCTTTCCGTTCTCTTAAACACCTGGCTACTTGTAACATTTTTCTTTTTTTCTTTTTTCTTTTATCTCTATCTCACTTCCGTCTTTTTATTTCTCCCAATCACCTGACGATGTGTAACTTTTCTTTTCTTTTCTTTCTTATCTCTCTCCCTTCCTTTCCTTTCTCTCATCCACCTAGCTGTTTTTGCTAGTGTTGTCCCTTCTTGATGGACTGTGCCACACTGCCTGGGTAGAAAGCCACTGGCACACAGCTTCCCTGGATCCACACCACTTCACTGGCAGGCTCCCACAGCAGCATTTTTTTTTTTTTTTGGCTTCTGTTTCTCTCTCTTCTTTCTCAAACCCACTTAACTCTACATATCACATGCTCAGCTTTCCCTCCTGCCTAACTGTACCTCATATTTAGAGCCACACCCCTATGTGGCATAAGTGCAAACTACCGGACCTTGCCCTGCACTACCTGAGGCCCCACCCTGTTCAACCCAAAAAGGGCTGGAAATGACCCATCCCCACCTACACCCCTCCATTGGACCTACCATGCTGGACCATAGCTGAGCAACCATTCCTGCCCACCTGGATAAGGTGTTGAATAGTATGATGCACAGAGCAAAGCAAACAACAAAGAATGCTCAGCTCACCTGCCCAGAGATAATAAGATAAAACAAAAAAGCAAGACTAAAAAAAATCTACAATCAATAAACAAAGAAAATAATTCCTGAATGTCCTAAAGACAAGAGACAATATCAAAACATATTTAAAAAAAGGACAGGATAGCTCCAGAAAGTGTCCAAAGTAAAACAACTAATGATCTTCTTCTGGTAGAAGAAAAGACACTGAAACTACCTGATAGGGAATTCAAACTTTAATATGCAGGTATTTCCAAGAGATAAAGTAAAAAGAGAAAAAATTAAGAAAATAGACAAAATCATGGAAAAGAAAGAGAAAACAATAGAAGAATTCAAGCAAATAATACAGGAACAAAATGTCAAAATAAGCAAGTAGAAATCTTAGAAAAAGAGAAATTAGAAATTCAAAAGGTAAACAACAAGATTTCAGAAATGGACACGGCCATAGAAATTTTTAGGAGCGAATTTGCAACAGTGAAAGACAAGATAAGTGAAATTGAAGACAAATCCTTGGATACCACTTTATGTGAGGAAAAAATCAGAAGAAAGAACAAAGAAAAATGAATAAACCCTGAGAATATTATGGGATACAATCAAAAGCAAAAATCTCTGTGTGGTAGAGTTACAGAAAAGAGGGAGAAAACATAAAACACACAGAGTGTTACTGAAGATTTGGTGTCAGAAAACTTCCCTAATATCCTAATAGATGAAAAGCTGACAATCCAGGAAGCTCAACAAAACTCATACAGGATAGACTCCAAAAGAAAATCACTAAGACATATCACAATGACACTCACTAAAACCAAGGACAAAGAAAGAATCCTGAGAGCAGCTGGAGAAAAATGAAAAGGCCCATACAGAGGGGAAACAATAAGACTAAGCTCTGATTACACGGCAGAAATCATGCATGCAAGAAGACAACAGGATGACATACATAAAACATTGCATTAAAAAAAATTGCCAACCAAGAAAAATATATAATGCAAAACTCTCCATCAAATATGATGTCAGAATTAGGACATTTCCAGATGAACAGAATGTAAGCAAATATGTGAAAACCGAACCAAACTTACAAGCGTTATTAAAGGGAGTTCTTCAGTTAGAGAACTAACAACATCAGACAACAGCCTGAATCTAGGATGCAAGACCACATCAGCCAGATACCAACCTGGGTAATAAACTCAGAAGGATAAAACAAAAGTGAAATATTTACAACAGGGAACCACAGCAGTTAATGTGTAAATGACAACAACATCAGAACAATAAAAGAGGGAATAAACGGTAGGTACAGAACTGCAAATGGAGAGGAATTCAGGCCATACCAACTAATAAAAGAGTGGTGCAAACTTAGAAAGATAGGAGAAAATTTCAAGGTAACCACATAGAAAGTTAACAAACCTATTCATCAAAATAAAGAAGAAAAACGTAAAGTCTTAGTAAACACAAAATCTACAAAAATGAAAGAAGAAAACAAACAAAAAACCACACACACAAAAAATCAGTACAAGAGAGTAAGAAGAATGAAGAAACGTCAGCACCATTAAAAAAAAAACAAAAAAAAAACAAAAAAAAAACTACAATACAATGTAATCCCGATCCAAATACCAGCAACATTCTTCAAAGAGATGGAAAAACTAATCATTAACTTTATATGGAAAGGGAAGCACTACTGAAGAAGAAGAATAAAGTTGGAGGACTCACACTACCTGACTTCAGAACCTACTATACAGCTACAGTAGTCAAAAGAGCCTCGTACTGATATAACGACAGATACATTGACCAATGGAACAGAATTGAGAACCCAGATGTAAATCCATCCACCTATGGTCACCTGATCTTCGACAAGGGCCCAAAGTCCATCAGATGGGGAAAAGACAGTCTTTTTAACAAATGGTGCTGGAAAAACTGGATATCCATTTGCAGAAAAATGAAACAGGACCCATACCTC